TTAATTAAATTAATTAAATTAATTAAATTAAAGGTGGGCATATTCACTCTCACAGTCGTACTATCATACACTCAGCACACTAGTTAAAATGCCATTCTTGAGGCCGCAAAACAAAGGCAGTCCAGCTCCCGCAGGGCTTTGATGGCCAAAATGTAGAGGGTAATGATGTCCAAATGTTCACTCCGAGATGGAGCAGCCGTAGTTCCAAGGCGCTTTTCAGGGAGGTCAGGAGCTGCTGCCGCTGATTCATCCTTTCCAGGGAATACTTCAGGTCTTCCACTGCAGGCTTCGACTCCGGGAAATTGCGGATGATGCTGTAGAGCTCCTTGATGCTCAAGCTGGCATATAGGCAGTAGCAGAAGCTTCAGGGGGCTGCTGGGCAGGGACGCCCTGGCACTCTCTTGCAGGAAGACCCTGCTGAGCCAGCCGATGACCTTCTCGATCCACTCTTGGAACTCGGTGAGGAAAGAGCGCTCGCACTCGCCCTGGCAGCGCCACTCCACGCGCTCCTCGATCATCTTGTGCAGCACGTGGGTCACGGCGTCGGCGCTCACCCGTTCCAGCAGGTTCAGCTCGTAAAGGATGGCGTTGAGCTGCTGGAACTGCTCCACGACCAGCGGACACCAGCAGCATTCCTCCCCGCAGCCGCAGCCCCCACCACCCGCCTCCTCCTCGGCCCCGCTGCCGCGCTGCCACATGTAGATGCGGAAGCTGCGGCCGTAGAAGTGGTGGGTGGCCTCGTGGAAGTCTGTGGGGGGCGCGAAGAAGAGGACAGTGCGCAGCAGGGCCCCGGCTCTCTCGCGCAGGCCGCCCGGGCAGCAGCGCCCCACCGGCTGTGTCCACTCCTCCAGCAGGCCCAGGCCGCGCAGGTAGGGCTCCAGGTGGCGGTGCAGCAGTCCAAAGGCCTCCAGCAGGCGCCACGAGGCGTTGCAAATGGATGCGGCGTTGCAAATGGAGGTGTAGAGCACCACGTCCTTCTCCGGAAGCCACCAGGTGCATCTCTGCGGCCTGCAGGTGTGCCTCGGGCTCCGGCGGCCTCTGACAGTATTGTGCTGAGAACCTTCACTGTATTAATGCAGCAGGAGCTTCAAAGGCAAAAAGGGTAGGCAGGAAATGTGTAAAGCAATAGAAGCAATGCCTGAGATAAGGCACTAAATTGACTCTCCCAAAGTAGTGCTTTTAAAGTGGGTTAGCTGGAATCATACAACATGGGACTCAAACCAAACAAATTACATTATGGCTTAATGCAGTATGTGACTAACAATGTGAACTGAAAACTATATTTTGCTTTAGAAAAAGAACATAATTACATGATTATCTCTATTCAAGATTGTATGATTGATCCATGTAGTGTATGACTTTCCCTAATTTGAGCAAAATATAACAAATTAAGGAGTTAAAATATGTAGTAAATTATTCAAACCGTATTAAACCATACACTGGTTTAATTTTTAATTGAAAGAAACCAATGTAATTTCTTTCAGTTAATAATTGAATTAATTAACCCAAATTAATAGAAGGTGTGGTTGAGGAAGTAAAATCAGATTTATCTGATAATAACAATTTAAGATAAAGTAAGTTTCTGGTGAGCGTCTGTAGAGGCAACAATAGAAAATAACATGTTTTAAAAGGGATCTTTGGGTGTCTCTTTTTAGTAGCTGTTGGGAGGGCATTGAATCTAGACAAGGATAAATCCTTCTTTTTTTTCTTTTTCTTTTTTGTGTAAATGTGTTTTTATTTTCCATTTTCATTTTCGTACAGTCACATATATACTGTGCACAACCGGGGCCATATAACATTA